TTATCTAATGCCACGTCATTGCCTTCTTGTTCAACCTCTAAACGTCCTAATATTTCAACAACATTATTACTGTTAGCATCTCCATCAAAAGGCACTTCAGTTTTGGTCTCTTCTTTAAATAGTCCAAGTTTGTCAATTTTATTGGATTCTACTATCTCTAGTCCAATTTGTAAGATCTGGTTGATATTGATGTTAGTATTGATGTTCCTTCATTAGCCCAACCAATGCAGAATACTCATCCTATGGTCACATGAGGCAAGCTTGGCATCTCCAAGCCCAAGTAACCTTTTATTGGTTTGGTTCAACATGATTCCCAATGTTTGGTTATAGAGCCTTCTTCTGTCTCTGAAGCTTTGAAATTAACTTACTAGAATTAAGCAATGGCTGATGAATTTGCTGCTTTGCAGAGGAATGATACGTGGGATCTCATCCCTTTTTGACCTTCTTACAATGTTATTATTAGTTGCTGGGTATTTAAAACTAAGTTCAAGCTTGATCATTTTATGGAATGTTATAAGGCTTGTCTTGTTGCTAAAGGGTATCTTCAAGAACTAGGTATAAATTATAGAGAAACTTATAGTCTTGTAATCAAGCCTTCCACTATTAGAGTTATGCTAACTTTTTCTGCTTCTTAGAACAAGGATGTCCGACAGTTGGATATTAATAATGCATTCCTTAATGGTTTCCTTTTCTAAGACAATTTACTCGACTCAACTAAAGGGTTTCATTGATTCAGCAAGACCCAATTATGTTTGCTGGCTGAAGAAGGCATTTTATGGTTTAAAGCAAGCACCTCGAGGTTGGTTTGATTGGCCATGGACTACTTTACTCTCATGGCAATTCATCAATAGTAAAAGTGATTCACCTTTGTTTTTCTTTCAAAACAGAGATCAACTTATTCTTATTTTAATTTATATTGATGATATACTTGTCATAGACAGTAATAATTCAAGCTTAACATGTTTTTATCACTAAGCTGAATGCTCTATTTTCCTTAAAGGATATGGGATTTGTGCATTATTTTTTTAGGATTGAAACATCACGTGATGCTAATGGCTTCTACTTAAATCAGAGCAAATACATCTCTGATCTCTTATCTAAATGGCATATGTCTAAATCTTTTTCATACTCCACTCTTATGGTCCCTGGTCATACTTTGTCTAAGTTTGATAGTCCACCTCTTACATCTGCCACAATTATAGATGTATTGTTAGATCTCTTCAATACTTAGCTAATACACATCCAAACATTGCCTTTGCCGTTAGTAAACTTAGTCAATTCCTTTCTTCACCTACTATATGTTATTGGCAAGCTGTGAAGAGGTTACTCAAATATTTGCACAGTACTATTAACCTCGGGTTACATCTTAAGAAAACTAATCATCTTGATTTTATTACTTTTGTTAATACTGACTGGGCATCCTGCCTTGATGATCGACAGTCCACTAGAGGATATTTTGTGTTCTATGGTGATATTCTTGTCTTACGGTCTTCTAAAAAGTAGACTGTGGTTGCTCTTTCCAGTATAAAGTCTGAATATCACGCTCTTTCTCATACTATAGCAGAATTAATTTGGTTGCGTTCCTTGCTTCATGAACTTGGGCTTTCCTCGTGTCTCACTTCTGTCATTTGGTGTGATAACGTTTTTGCTGTAGCTTCATCCTCTAATTTTACGTTTCACACTCGCACCAAACACATCAAAATTGATTAGTATTTCATTTATGATCTAGTTCTTGTGAAGACTCTAGCTATTCATCATGTACCTTTTGAATATCAGCTTGCTGATCTACTTACGAAACCTTTGAGTTCTTCTTGCTTTCTTTTTTAGCGGAACAAACTCGATTTACATCTTGTACCCTTTTGTTTGCAGGGGAATGAAACGAGTATATCAAAGGTCATAAAGCTTAGCTCTTCACATAAGCCTAACTCTTATTTGTAGTAGGCTCATGTATTGTTTGGTTTATATTTCTTTATTCTTTTTATCATTTTATTCTTTAAAAGGTTGTAGATGTGATGATGTGGCCTATCATTTGTAACCATTTCTTATTATATAATGAGCACAGTACCCTAGGCCACTCACGTTGAGTGAGCCTTATTCTTCAAAAATCATTTTTGGCCAGCAGTGTTTTTAAAACAGGACCGGAAGTTCAAACCGGTCCGATCGTTAATCGGTCTGACTTTTGGTCTGATTCATAAGAAAAAGTCATTTTAAGAGTTAAGCTGGATTGAGTTGTTTTGAACCAGCAATCGGACCGAGAACAGGAATCAAGCCGGGAATCAAATTCGGTTTTCAAAAACGGACTGTTAAAAAAATCTTTTTTTATTTTTTTAAAAATAACTAATTTTTTTAATCATTTGATATTATGTTATATCATGTAGCTTGTTAAGTTATGATAAACTTAAAATGTTTAATTTTTTTAAGTTAAATGATAATTTCATATGTATTTCTTATATTTAAATTATTATATACATATATAATTTTTTTTAATTTAATTATTACGTCACCGGTTAGACCATTGGTTGAACCATGCGAACCGAGAATTGTTGACTTTTTTGGTTTAATGTCCGGTTCGATTCTGAAAATATTGTTGGCAAGAACCTACCTTTGTCTTTCGAACATTCTAGCCTAAGTCAATTAGAATTCAGAAACGAGATGGATTGGGATGAATAAGTTTTCGACTCATCAAAACTCGAATCAGCTTCAGTCTTGCGATGCCAATTTCTTCAAATGCAATGCCAACGACAAGTCCCTTTGTGTTGAAAATTATAAAGCAAAATTGCACATTTTTTAATAGTTTCGAGCGTTACTTTTAAAAAAGTTTAGGGTATGAAGTGTCATAGAAAGAAAAGTTTGAAGATATTTTTAATTTTTTGCCCTTTAAATTAATGGTAATATGGTAGATTTAGAGGTAGAGTAGATAAATAACAGGAAGATGACACGGGATGAAAGCCCGAGGGAGGGAACGGATTTAAAAAGCAAAAAGTTGGAGGCAGGCTGAGCGGGGCGTAGTTCAGTGTTAGTGATGGCACCGAATACGATTCTCTCAAGGACTGGTATGAAGACTTTATTGAGGAGCGAGTCAAAAGGATCAAAATAATGAGACGTGTTCACAAAAGAGAGAAAGGGAAGACGAAGGAGGTCAGTGAGATCAATCAAGTGGGTTTCTCCTTGGGAGCAATACTCTCATTTGTCTTATATGGCCTTTTTCTTTTGGTTTGAAATACGAGCTACAGTGTCTACCCGCATTTTCCACCATAAAAGCACGCAAACAACAAACACGTCTCCAACCAGATCAATACATGGTGGTTCCCCAGTTTCAACATTCCTCGCCTCTCTCCCTTTTCTGCTCCATCTGTGAATCTGCATCTAATTGCAATCAAAATCTTTGTTCCCTTGTCTAACCTGAACCTACTATGATCCTTCCATTTTTGTATATTCTCGCGTACTTCCCTCTCGGGTTGCTCCTTTTAATTTGTTACTTGACTCTGATTTTTTGAGGATTCACGCTGTGCCCATGCGAGATTTCGAAGGTGAAGCTGCATGTGGGTGTGAATTGTGCTGTCTTACTGTAGGATTTGCACCAAATCCCACAACTTCTATATTTGTACTATACAAAGATATCATTATCATAGCAACATGGTCAAACAACCTCCCAAACCAGCTATCCTTTTACTATTAAAATAACATATAAACTCCGACATTCACGGTACGTCATTTTTTAAAACATTAATATATATATTTATATATGTATGCATGTATATATGTAATCTATAACTAGTTACTTGTATGATTTTGGTTTCTCTAATTTTTATAAAAATTTATTCGGCCATTCAAGGCCCTGTTACTCGACTATTTTCTAAGACCTTTCACTTGTCAAATGAATAAATAATATTCATGAAACATGACATTCAATCTTTGATGAATAATTTCATAATTTAACTTCAATGTCAATGACACCCTCCTATCTCCATCTTTCGTTCCTTGACACGTTTTTTTTTTATAAAAAAAAAAAATCAACACTCTCGCCCTCTTTTTCTTTTTTCTTTTGTTTCGTTACGAGGGCGGAATTAGTCTCACGGATTCTTGCAGCCTGTTAAAATATACGGATTATATCTATTAAAACAGAGAAGAAAAAGGAGTGAAAGTCTATTCTCTCCCTTGCTCTTTCTCTCTAAGTAACTTTGTATTAAATAGGAAGAGACTAAACGCAAGGCATTCAAATCCAAAATCAACACTAAGAATACTAATAGTCCTCCTACTCAACAGACAAGTGCTCGACTATAATTTAGATCTCGTGAAGCTATGAATATATATTTGTCGCGAATGATTTCATCTATCGATCGGTTTAATTTCTTGGCAGAACCCGCAAGATCATCAAATACATAAAGACAAAGGTCTTCCTTGGTTTATGCGAAAACAAAAGGAGCAAGGAAAAGAACATCTTTCTCTTTTTTCTAATAAAAAATAAAAAGAAAATAAAGAAAGAGAAAAAGCATGGGATCAAACATCAATACAGCTACCAGCTGGAGAGCTCTTTGCAAATGCTTTTTATAATGTCTATTGTAATCTAAACACATGGAGAGTGTGAAGGTATTAAATGTAAAAATGAATTAACTGCTCATGGAGCACCGAATAATAGAAACGCCACATCAAAACAAAAGCGACTCTAAACTGACACTCTCAACGAGGTCAACACACCAAGAATGGCCATAAAATCTGTATTTGAATAGCCTCCAGTGGCCGACATGTTTTTCCCCCTCTCATGAATCTCCCTCTTACCAACGCCCCCTGCTCGCTTCACATTTTGATTCCCCGCAAACATATCGACTCACTTCACTACTAGGAATCTTTAACCATTTCTCGGCCAAAAATTATATGGGAATTATGGTTTGAGCTTTACTAATTACAAGTTCTCTTGAGATAATGACAACAAGTTTCTCAGTTTTGGGAGCAAGACAAGCATGTATGTTGCTTCATTTCAAACAGTTACGGGAAAGTAATACTCATGAATTAATAATTCATTACTATGATCATGTACTTTAATTACTTCCGGATAAAATGCCAACGATCTCTGCTCGACCGCTTCCAATCGATCTCAGATTTTGTGGAAAGTCTATCTAATGACTTGCAAATTTGGAGCGGACAAGTGCTTTTACGCAGAGACAGTTGGCAATTTAACTTGGCATAGAAAAAAGGGGGAAAACAATGGGGATAGATTAGTATTATTGAACATACAGAGACCATCCTTAAGATTAGATGCAGGGATTGGGGGATTCAGGGAGGAATACTGAGGAATTCTGAATTAGTAGGATGGTTTAGAAGAAGCTGATCTTGAGTCCTGGCCTTCTTCGAGAGAGGCTCCGGTGACGACGAAACAGACGCAGCCACGGCCCACGAATCATTGGAGCTGTCGCAACTGAATGACGCATCCATCACACCGTTTGGACTTCCTGGAACGGAACCAAACGTGCGTTTGTTGGATTGCTTCACCTGGTACTCTGTCGTAAATTCCAATACGAGCTTGTGGCATTCATCCACCTTGTCCTGCTATTTATCCAAACATTAAATGTTAAATGCACCATCTACACTCAACTAAGTTGTTCACAACTCCGAACTTTCAAAAAGAAAAGAAGATAACTAACCTTATCGATTCCCAGAATACCCAGAAGCTGGTTTCTGTATTCCACTCCTAGGCCGGCTTCCACACCATTCACAACGTGCATCATTGTCGCAGTCGCCACCACAGAAGGAAGATAACTCATAAACCTCGAATCTGCAATTCATACATCACGAGTCGAAACTTGAAAAATGCATTATTATTTAGCCGTCCGAGTCGATCATTGAACTGAGCATTACCAAATTACCTGTAATGAGGGACAGAATAATGCCTTGGCACCTCCTGAGGAACTCCCAGCAGAGATAATCCCTTAAGCCCAGCCTCCGAGTCATGTAATCGAGAAACGATAGTGGGGTTACAGGGTTCATCTTCCACTCAAGAGAGGAAAGCACCAAAATCTCCATCCTTTTGATGGTTTTGGCTTCGAACAGGTATGTGCTCTCCTCCACCTACACAATTGAAAGAAAATGAATTATCAAAATGTTCATCCCGATGAAGGAAACAAGGAACAGAGTGGAAGCAGTACACACTTGGAGGTCGAGTAAAAGGGGGACGTGGGTCTCCTCCACCTTGGCCGCGAGGGAAAGACAAGCGACGGCAGCAAGATGGATCATCCAAGGCTTTCCATCCTGAATTTGAAAGTGGAACAGGAACCTGTCGAGGTAGTTTGCGGCAAGAACAGCTGTGAGGACAGAGAAGGAGTAGTGGGCATTCACTTTGAGAATCCACTCCACGCCTTCTCTGCGAGCTGCGGAGAGAAGAGGGTTGGTTTCCAGTAGCGTACAGAGTTGGCTTTCACGTTCCTTGGCCAGCAGAGACGTTAGCTCTTCATCATCCCACAAAAGGTCCTGTTCGAGCAACACCGGAGGTGCCTTTGTTTGAGCGTCACTGCCAGGATAGCACTCGTCTACTTGTTCTAATTCGTGGTGGAAATATTCGGGGCCTGATTGTTCCTCCAAGTGCTCTTCCGAACAGTACAAGGCATCCAAGTGGAACCTGGGGTTGTCTAGCTGATGCGGATGATGAGCCATGTTTGTGAAGCGACGGCAAGTCGGAATCTTTGTCTAGTTCGTCATACGTCGGGGCAAAGAAGGGCCGTGATATGCCCTGACGGAGACATCTCTATTCTCCAAGTGCTTGCGAGGGCGAGAACGAGAGAGAAGAGAGTTAGAGAGACACAGGGAATTGACGAAGAAGCAAAAGCGAGCGTTATATCGGAGAGGTTTCGCCGCGAGTCGTTTTATTTTGCCCCGATTCATGGGCCACGCATCACAGTTACTCGGCACGTGACGATTGTACTCTGCGGGGTAAATTTGGGGTATTTCCAGTGTCCGGTATATTTCTCAAAATGCAAGCGACTAAACAATTCCATTACTCAAGGTTGTTAAATTTGCGACTTTAAAAACTGACAATGATGTAAATTTAAACTTTAGTTTTAAATTTTAAATTTACAAGAATTTATTTTCCTTAATAAATAATATTTAAAAATATATGATTAAATAATTAAAATAAAAAATACAATCATAATTTAATTTAAATATATTTTGAATATAAATAATTAAAATTAAATCTATCTACATTTATAAATTATTATATTTAATATAGAAATTTTAAAATATAATAACTTATTTTTGATATTTTTTATTTTCTCTTTTATTAATGTTAATTTTTGGTTTTTTTAGTTTTATTTTTCATTGAACCAAATCCCACTGCTTCTATAAAATTAGTTTTACATAATATATACTTATCTTGCTCAATGAGTTTTGAGCGGATTAACATGATTTTATAAGTTATAAACTTAAAAACGATAAACTCAAAAAGTCAACTAACAAGTTTAATTAATTTTTATTTAATTTAAATTTATAAACGAGTTAATATGATTTTATAAGTTAAAAACGTTAAAACAATAAACTCATAGAGTTAACTCAAAAGTTTGACAACAATAAAATTACTTATATCTTTATATCTTAATTATGAGAAAACACAATCATCATCCTTATAATTTTATTAGATTTTACTTTTGATCTTAATAATTTTTTCATTATTTTAAAACACTAAAATTATATGGACCTCAATATAAATGTCACCCAACCTTATTAAAATTATAAAAATTGAAGAAATTATATAGACAAAAACCAAAACTCAACAAAATTATAACAACTGGTGATTATATGTTTTTCCTTAGTGAATATAATAATATCAAATGTTTAGAATCCATCACAAATTAATTTAATCCACATGCATCAGCTGGTATAATTTTTTTTTTTTTTTGTTTGACTGCCAGCACGAAGACGGTAAGAGTTGGTATGCGGTAAGAACTAGGAAGAGCCATGGTTGAATTGCATGTGCATTATATGCAAACTTTTTCCGAGGAAAAAAAAAGAAAGAAAAACACAAACACGCACACAACAGGTGGAGAGGGGCAAATTGAGATTTCGAGGGGTTCGGAATTGAAAAGCATACATGTACGAAATTTGCATAAGTTTTAAGAAAACCAAAATATATAATACTTGTAAAATACTGAAAAAAAAAATTAAAACTCAGGGATCAGTAGGTGAGTTATAATTGAAAATTGAAATATCCGTTTTCTTTTTCTCTCCGTCTGGGTGTTTAATCTCAGCGGATGGGTACATTGAGATGTGACAGAGAGGGAGACTAGGAGGGGCTTGGATCGCCGGGGGGGGGGGGACACAAATTCACTTATTTAACAAGTATTTTATATGATATTCTAACAAACATTTAATTTAATCGAATAACTGTTAAAAATTTTGTCACATGATATTTATAAGGTATCAAATCTAAAATTTTTGGAGAGTGATCTTGGAATTTTAAAAATAAATATACGTTGATAATTTTGATATGTTGATAAAATTAATGAGTATAATTGAAACAATGGTTAAGTAGCAGACAATTATATTCCAAATCTGATTGGGAGAGGTATAAGCTAATAGTACATAGGGATGCATTAATTAGGGAGATAAGAGAGAGAGAGAGAGGAGGGGGGGCGCTGAGCTGATATTGGCGAATGGCGAGGGCGGGAGTGAAAGGGAGCACGGTGGCCCACACTTAAAAATAACCACTCTGTTCTCATCTGATGCAGCCATGATACTCAGAATCAGAAAGCTAAGTCCCCAGCTTTTCCAAAAAAAATCCCCATTCTGGTCCACCCCCCTCTCTCTTTCTCCCCACATTTAATTTTACCCTCCAAACTAATATTTCATCTCTTTCCATCATCCTGCCCTGCAAATCCACGCTCCCAGATTCCATTATTAAAATAAAACCAAGTCAAGCCTCTTCCCAGCTTGCGATTTCCAGTTTCCACCACCATCATTTTCTTTGACTCGCCTCAGAAATCAGATTCGTTCTCTCGTTGCTTCTTCTCCATCGGGGCTGCCCCCGTTTATATTTTCGTCCTCGAACACGTTAACTTCGCTCCCGTGTCCACTGCCCTGCCCAAATTAGAATTACATCTTGCACTAAATTACATTATCACAGCTTGATGGCAGATATATTCTATTTCCCCCATGCTTCCCTCAACTCGTCTTTGCACATTCATGTCTCCAATCCCTGTTTGTTTATATAACATATATATTATGCGGTAGAGTACGTAATAAACTGAACTGGGGTAGTGGTCCAGAAATATTATAGTTCATGACTTCTGAATAATGGTCTTTTTTTATTTCAAGTGAACCGAAAGAATATTTGACTCACTCGTTCAGAACTCGTGACGCGTTCCGATCCCCTCTTCGTCATGGGACCAACCGGATGGATAATAAATAACATGCTCGTCACAAGTCACTGCCAAAGACCCATACCATTTGATAACTCATAACTATATAAAATGGATCGTAGGACAGGGAAATTGTATTACAGAAATTGAATTCTTAGGTTTTGTACGTGCTGCTTTCTTAAAGCGTTGTCACTGTTGGCTGTATTCAGTTGAAGACAATTGTAAATAATATTCGACTCTAGCTCGTTGCAGGTCAGTTTTGGTATAGAATTGAGAGGAAAAAAAGCAAAAGCCTATGAAGTGTAGCGTAATAAAGAAGAGGCGGGCTTACAAGTTTAGGGTCAGCGCGGAGTCGAGGGTGGGGAATAACAGGGCATTGGATCAGTGGGATTGAAAGGGTTAGGTGGGCATGATGGCTTTATGAGCCGGGAAGGGGAAACTATTGGAGGGCGATACAATTTTGGAAGCCACAGTTTCCCGTGTAACTTACTCGGAGCCATGTAAAAACAAAGGACAACTCAATTCTCCTCTTTTTTGGGTACGATAAAGAGACGTCTCTGTGGAGACCATATTACAAAATAATGGCGGTCACAGAGCAGCAGACCGTAGAAGCAGAGGTAGAGAGAGGGAGAGAGAAGTTTTAATGGGTTTGCTTTGGAGTTACTCAAAAGATGTTAGGCTACGGGTGCGATGGCATACAAGAAAATGGGCATAACATTGTACGCAGAGAACCGTACGTGTAGAGTGGCAAACCAGGACAGACGCGTGTAAGGCCTTCTTTTCTGGCATCATATGTTGCTTTTCCTTCCCTCTTTCCTCTACTTTTTTTTTTTATAACTTTTTTTTATTTTTTCAATATTTTGCCCTTATTTCAAGAGAATTTCAGCCTCACTGCAGATAAGTACGATATTTGGAAAACTAACATTATCAATTATTGTTTTTGTGCATTATACAAAGACATAATGTATATTGAATTGTAGAGCCATTAATTTGGATTTGTTAATCTTATTTAAGTTAGGTTTAAAATATATTATTTTATTAAAAAAATTCATACAACCAAATCTAGTCTTATCTTTTTTGTTTGAGTTTGGATTGGCTCATTAAATTTAGACAAAATTATTAACTCTATATTCATATAGAGTCAAAAAATTTTAATGGTCAAACTTAAATCAAGTTGGACTTATTTAAATTAAATTTAAATTATTTTATTTTTTTTAAAAAAATTCATATAACTACTTTAACTATGTTTTGAGACAGGTTCAAATTTACTATTAAGCTTGATTTAAATTATCGACTGACATAATGAGTTGGAAGGATAAGCTATATTTTTCCGCATTTGTGATGATACGGATACAGGAGATAATTATTTGCAACTCCCGGAAATGAATAATTAGAAAAGGGCGTGTTATTAGCTTGTACAGCCTAAAATATGGGTCTAATTATAAAAGGACAGCGGAGAGAAACGTCATTAGCTCATCCAAAAATCAAATCAAATCAAAACATTACAAAATTGACGGAGGTAAATGCGAATGGTGGTTGTCGGGGGAGGCTGTGGTGGTTTCCAGCCCATTTATCAACATTCTCCTTTTTTTTTTTTATTACAACACACTTTCTAAAAAAAGTACCGTTTATTGCACGTTGGGAAATAAACTGTTCTATTTTGTCGTGAAATAAATATATATTGTTTTATTTTTATTGTTATTTTTAATTTAAAGCCATTAAAACCATTTTTAATTATTTTTATTGGCCCCTTCATTTCGTTGTTGTTTTTATTATTCATATAGAAAAACATAACATTTTAACAAAATTGGAAATTATAAACAAAAAATCAATAAAATAAAGAGTTTTTACTAATATAGTCCATATTATGAGAATAAATCAAACAAACAAAATAAGCTTGAATCAAATGAGAAAGGAGATTTCGTTCAAATGAGAAAATAATTACAAAGAATTAGAAAGTAGCTAGAAGCAAGCAAAAAAAGGTTAGGCATGGGTGACAAGGTTTTTTAATTTTGATCTGCAGGCTTGGGGTCAATTTGGATTAAATTCCTGTCAATTTTTTTATTAAGAGACCAATCTTTAAAATTATTATTGACTTTGAATAAAATTTCAAATAATATGTTGCTAACATATAATAATTAACCGTGATATTTAATAATAAGAATACTTTTGGTTAAAATTAATCGCAGTTTTATAGATTAATTTCTTAATGAAAACGATGTAAGAACCTAAGTTGACTGAGACATGTGTTTTCTCCAGAATTAAATTTTCAAATTTTTATATAATACATCATGACACTGTTTGTAATATTTATATGATGAATGTTATCGACATCATTAATAGGTGAAAAATTACATTAATCAGTACCAAACTCATGACTCAAATGATTTTTAAATCAGAAACAATGTAACTCGTTTTTTATGTTTCGTCCAATAAACACGCAACAGCTACCTGATTTACGAAACGTGTAGAAAAGAAGAAATTCAATTATTTAATCTTACATATTTATTTTTTCCGCTTAAATTAAAAATTACTTTAAATTCTAAACGCTCTCTAAGCTAATATTTTTAGAAAATCAGCTGCTGTTACAGTTTAAGGAACAAAGAAAACGTCAAAAGCAAAAGCGACAGGCGTTAAATAAAATGTGAATGTAGATGTAGATTTTAGGAGGCTCATATCAAATTCAAAACGTTTCTGCATTATTTGCTTCATTTGCTTCTTTTCTGGTTTTCGGATCTCAAACAAAATCTGCAACTCCCACTAGAACAGGTGAAAGTCAGAGAAGCCCACACCCTGAGAAAGATCAGAAAGTCGATGGTTTCCCAGCATTTCCATTGCAGCGCTGCATAAAAAAAATTAAAGTAAAACCCTTTATCGGGACTCATAAACCCTTTCTGCTCTTCGTACCATCCATCGCCATGGATCTTGGCCGCTCATCAATTCAATATTCTGAATGAATTTTGGAAATTTCTCGTCGCCCCATCTCTACCTTTGCCTTTTCCCTTTTTCATAAAAAACATCCCCACAAGTTCAATTGAAGAACCACCACATTTTTAATCTAGCTAGCTTCGTGCTTTTATTTTTCGGTCTAATATCATTAATATAAATTCCGTGAAAAGTCATACCAATATTACTATTCTTTTAAACATAAAAGTCTAATTTCTTTTTTTTTAAAAAAAAATTAATGTGTGATCTTTTATTCAGTTTTTGGTCCAGAAAAAGATCTATTCAAGTTATTATTATTATTATTTTTTATGGATGGATGTGGACGTGGAAGGCCAGGCGAGGAAAAGAGACGTGATCATGGGATGTGGGGGAGGGCCCACAAGGATCTTGTTCCAGCTGGGTCGATGACCACTCAGAAGGAGGGGCCCACGGTCCATAGTCAGTTGAATGATAGTGTTTTTGCCGCGATCAATCACAGAATTACATCACAGTGAATAATTGCCGGTGGGAAGTTGCAACTACTGGAGGAGGAGGGAGGAGTCCCAAAACGTAATCATCACCCAGGGGGTTGACCATTGATTTTACATTACTACATAGTAATAGTGAGCTTTTTATATGAAATATGCTAAAAAGTATCATTATCATAATGTTCATCACTTTGTTTTGTTTAAAGAACATGTCTGGGTCAAGCTTTGGAGAAATGAAGTTGGAAATGATCATCAGCTGCCATCAAGAAGCAAACAGTTTTTATGTGCTTTCACTAAATAATAATAGCAACAACAAAAAGTTTACGTGCACAGGCAGTTCGGTAGCAAATAGAGTTTGCATGGGAATCAAATCTTTTGAATATCATGAGGGGTTAGCTTGACACGACGTCCCAACTTCATAACTTATATTCCCTGATACATCATCATTTCGCCATACACCCAGAATAATATTAGCTCGAGAGCCATTAAATGGATACTTTTATTTTTATTTGAATATTTCCGAATAAAAATGATAGCATAGGACGACTGTCATCTCTTACGAGTTATGACTTATGACCCTCGCAATAAATGAGACCATCCTCCCTGCATTGGAAGATGCTATCTAGGAATAACGTCCAGCACATAAGGATGAGGACTATTCTTGCCTCCTTAACATTCAAAACTTAACGTAAATCTGCTTCCGTGGCTTAAAAACAGAGCATCATTGGTCATACTCGTACGGTACTCTGTGGATTGTCGTGGTCCTCGTTCTCTGGATGAGGCCAATACATGAGCTTGGTTCGTCCAGAGCGAGAGGAGTTTTGAGTTGGGAGTGGTTGGGCTGAGCAGGAAAATTATTCGGTGTTAGCAAAAATATTGCCTTCGCTACTGCATTCGTATGTGGGTGCATGTGTATATCAATAAACTGGCAAGTTTCATTGCTGAAAGCAAAACACGTTAATAATTTTTTTTAAAACAAGCTTAAATTATGTTTGCTACTCCCTATTTCAAAATTTATGCTAGGATCCCATCAGATCTTGAAAAATATCGAGCCCGCTTCTTTGCTTTTTAAAATCAGCTTTAATGATGAATAGTGATTCAATTGAGTTTGAAAAAGAGGTCGTGACTCATTTCTTAATCTTTGCCCACTTAAATATTTTTGATAAATTCGTACACAATATATAAGCATAAATACATCAAACAACGAGGGCAAAAAATAACATTGCTAAGCATAGGGAGACATGAGTGACCATGTTCTGCAATGAGTGAAATTTATAATTTAGGCAAAAGGTAAACTATGAATTTACATGAGCATAAAAAATAAGAAAGCCGGGGAGACTGTAGCATGATACTGGTGGGTGATAATATTGCCATGACGGTTTGACTAAATAACAAAACAAACGCAACAGGAGAAAACATGATTCTGTCTCCGGATTTGGCAACACAGATTCAGCTTAGCATCTAAAAGTAGGGCGAACAAAGTTTCTCGCCGTTTTGACTTGCGCAGAGACCCCACTGAACAAACATCAACCTAGCTGAGCAACTGCTTCCAGCGAAGAGCTCGAGCCTTTTGACTCTCAGTGTCCGACCTTTAACTACTCCTTGCACATCCCGTGACCAAATATTACTCTCCATAACTCAAATTGCAACCCAGAACGAGTCCACGCCACAATCTTCGACTTCCCACTCATATTGCGGGATTCCCAAGATTCCTGCTATGCCTTTGTTCACTGATCTGACAGCAACCTTGTCATGCTCCGCAAACGGCTTCATATTCTGTCGGAAATCACCCTCCAAAGACCTAGGCACTCCCAAGTTTTCAATGCCAGAATGGCCGTACATATTAAAGAAAACAAATTCTACTATGAAGAAGGTGGTCTATCGCTTAATTCAAATTAAAACTTCATTCCTATTGCCTATAGGTTACCTAATCACCAATTCCTGCAATGCTAACAAACAGCATTTCACTAGTCAACAAAGTGAAGTTCAACTTCAATCATTTTCTGTATGATCATTTAACGAAAAAGCTTGATATGCAGGTCAATGGTTATCAACTACCATTGACAAATCGATTAAACTAGGTAAAGCATTGAAGTACGGGGACCAACAAAAGAAACAGGACAGTAGTCACCATATTATAGATTGAGAAACCAAAATCAGTAATCAAGTTCCAATATATAAACATATTAACCACTCCCACGCTTTAAATGTTCTCGAATAAATCTTTCTGCATGAGATGGGTACTTATTTCGAATGTACTCACGAAGGCACTTCTGGTAGGAGAAGTCAATCCAGCCACCATCGGTTCTTACAACAAAAAGACACCTTGAGTATCTAAACTGGGGATGACGATCGACCTACAACACAAGAAGTCAAATAGCTCACAAAAACCTAGAGCAAGTAATTTACAAACAATAATAATTGAAAGACAAAGAAATGGCAAGTATTCTCCAAAAAAAAAAAAAAATTGCACGAGATAACACAAAAAGCATCCCATTCTATCAGAACCATGCCTCAATCATTAACCACGTTAGCTACTAAAATTCAAGGGAAGGGACATTAAAATTCGTCTGCAACGAAAAAAGCAAACCAAAAGCATCCAAGCAATTAGAGCGCGACTCAGATTTATGAAATAAACCTAAATACATACTCACAGAATTATCTAGGCAAGAATATTCTTGCTTTCTTGTCTTTCAATCATTATAACCAAGAGTTGAAAATGAAATGTGAATTAACCCAAAAATGACTAAGAGACCAAAAATGACTAACATCATATGGATACCATTTCAGCAGAGAAGATTCCCTCTACACAATGTATTCACGAACAGCATATGATGCCGCTGCTTTTGATGTGATAAGTGTGGTGAGATAGACAGAATTGAAGATCATTGCTGCCTAAGACAGAACTAACATTGGTGAAAGCTAATAATATCCTGAATTTATATCAGGAAGCACAAGCTCCCATTTTGCACATTTTGTTTGCTCCCACTGAAGAGGAGGAAAACAAGAGCATAGCTACTTGTATTGGCTGGTTAAATTGTCACATAGCGAGTTACTGATTTTACAATCATCTTTAATTATCCTATCTAGTCATTTAGTTATTTTTTGGTTGAACTATAATGATGGCACAAAAGGTTTATTTGACCTGTCAATTCATTGCATGTAATTGGCAGGAAAACGATGCTTAAAGGAAATAGATATCGACATATATCTCTTGAAGGTTATCAATGATCTATAAATGTATCTCTATAGAAACTGAGGCAATCACTCCATCAGGCAGTACCACAGTAGCAGGGGATATCGTCATTCTTAACATGCTATGGTTCATAATATCATATAAACGTATCATTTTAGGCCTAAACTTAAGAGAAATAAAAGAATGCACTGGCACAGATGTAGCACATAAAGTAAAATTCTAGGATGAATGGAGATAAAATACCCCAAGAAAGTTGCTACAAAAATGAAAATTCAGGTGCAAAATGTTCGGATTGGATGGGGAAGAAACACACAGCCTTGTGGTGTTAAATATAATTTGCAATTAAATCATTTCTTTCTGGAGAAAAGCAATTCAGAAATTTTAGTTCATACAAAGATAGCATTGCTGATCCTGGAAATATTCCTTTACAAGCAGTTGGCACAATATGGTATGTCATTTTTAATGTACAACAATCGCAACTCAGAAGTTGCAAAGACAAAACATAATAACAAATTTACAGCATCACACTACGACAACAACTATAAATTGCATTGTTTACCTTGCATGTAGATATACATATAGAATTAAACGTATCATACCATAATTGACTCAAGACCGCATCCAATCTTATCTTCAGAATGTGGATGGTAAAAAAGAAGTTTCTCTACCACAATTTTCTCATCCTCAGCTGTCAATTTCTCTCCATCCATGTACCTAGTGTAGAAAATCAGAATCATTGAGAAGATAGTTTTACGAGGTTAAAAAAAACTTGTAGCAACCATACTGGTTAGTATTAAAAAATGCAGCACAAATAAATGTGAACAAATGATAGACATACAGAATTTATTACAGAAAAATTGTACATTGTGCAAAGAAACTCACTGGCAAGCAAGCACTGCTTTCAGCAGTTATTTTAGAGGATTTGATGCTTTCACAGCAGCGTTGTGCTTGTCTGTCTGCATATTTATTATATCTTTTTGCTGACACTAGCAGAGTCATGATTTTGCTCATCGCGTCTTCAAATATGCTTCATTTTAGTTTAGTGTCACAATAAGGTATACTGTAATTTTGTCATTGCGTGTGTTTATAGACCTTCATCACTCAGCCAAGAGTGCTCAGAGACAAATGATACTCTAGTGTTTAGTTTCCTGTCAAGAAGCCAATACAGTCTCAAGGAATTTCCTAGAAGAGTATATGAACTTGGATTTTGGGGAACCAATAATGGAGACAAGGGGAGAAACAATAGATAAAGGGCAACCAATAATGTACTGGTTTATAACTTCACTACAATAGGATGTGTGACAAGATGTTAATAACAACTTTTGCGTCATGCTCATGTTATCAGATTAATAATTACTTTCAGTTGAATTTCAGATTAATGCGTGTATTCACTACGTGCATCAAATAAATCATTCGTACCTAGAACTTAGGAGTGTCATATAGTTTGAATAGGAGATGTACATGAAAGAAAATTTCAACCAACGGTAATAACTGGTTTTGTTTTCTTCTGCTCAGCTTTTGAACCATAGAGTGATTGAAATTATAACTTCATCCTGATCACAATGCATGTAAATAAATTGCAACAAGTATGCAACCACCATTGAACTGATAAAAGCAGCAACAAGTTCAAGGCCAGACAATAGATTTTAGAAGCCGCCGAAGTTCCAAGAAGAATAATTTTATCCTTAGTAATCAAACAATTTGAACTCGTAATAATCCATTGATTACAAAGACTTCCTTTTGTTACCTAAATTATATCTTAAAAAGGTTCTCAGTTAGTATCTTAATTGAGAAGACTATGATTTTCTTTTCATACATTCCACGTAGTGTTTTTGTGTAAACTACTACTCGCATGCAATCAAGACATGAGTCAGGATGTCATGCAGATAATACATTCCTCTAAAAGTTAGTCATACACTAAACTTTGAACTTCATAATCCGCTGGTTCAGTCTAGTTCTTGAAGTAAATGAGCGATGCAAGAAAAATGTATTTCTCTAGTCCTATTTACAGGGTAGAGAAAAATGATTAATTTTAATCTTATTTATAAAACACTTCACTATTTTCTATGCTTATATTTACCTTTCTGCCCATAACAAATGGTAGAAAAGTAATTAAAAATAACTCTTTTTGTAAGGGGTAAAGGTAAAAACTTATAAGAAAAGTTAATGAGGTTTAAGTTTTTACTTGATTCCAATAAAACATGCCGGAAGTAATTTATAAATAGGAGTAGAGAGTATGTTTATAGGTCAAAGGAAGATGTAATGTATAAAATCCCACTGCATCGGTACATACAACAATCTTAGGATTTTCTTTAACGTCTGCCATTATTGTCCGAGGAAATCGTTGTAATCTTCCACTTGCTTGGAAAACTAAAGTCTGTAATATAGTTAACAGTGTTGGGTGTTCATGCCAAGCAGTCTCCGTCTCTCCGACCAGAAAATTTGTTCTCCGCTTGGTAGCAGACTAAAAGTCAATGGGATATTATGTCCAAGCACATAAATAACGGGTATCGGGAAAATTGAATGACACTAGAGCCGAGGCGAGTGACGCCATGTCGCAGACTTGCAAACAAGGGTAAGAAGCTTAAACTATCGCAACGAAGAAGTTGAAATACTTAGTAGGATAGCCCCTATCTTTTCATCCATTACAAAGATGAAGACAAAAGATGATCTCCATCATATGCATTGTCGTTCAGTGATACATTATAACTCGTTTTGTTTACATATATGATATTCGACGATATGCCAAGGATTCTTGCCGACAATACGACGAATAGTTAGGGTACAGCAAGAAATCACACATTCCAGATAAGGAATGAGGGTGAGAAACTGACCTTCGCGAGTGGAGGATATCCTTCGTTAGCCTAACGATTGGTTCAATGTCCTTAAGGATCTCTCTTTCTTTATCCTTCCATTTCCGATAATCGGGGTCATCCGAAGTCGGCTGACTCACAAGGTCCTTAGCTCTCAGCAGCTTGGCGATTTGAGCAGCGTAGCTTGCTTTCTCATCTGCTTGTCCCGGTTCAGAGTTGTTGGGAACACTGCAGAATAGGCGTTGAGGTGTCCCAGTCACAGCGATCCCCGCCACAAAACGCCGGTAGCTATGGAGCCGAAAGCCAGGAAACAGAACTTCTCGAAGAAGCAGAGGACCAGCCATTGAGGTCGAGTGAAGCAGGGGAAGATGTTGGGCAACCCTGAGCATGATGTCCCCGGAACTCTATCCAATAAAATTAGTCCAGCCCATGTACCCCAAAAAAAAAAAAAACAAACCAACATACAAAGAAAGAAATAAAAGTCCAGCTCAACTAAACTGGATGCCATTTCACCGGGGAACTAGAGGTCCGTCTGGTTGTTAACTAACTTTCCACACTTCAAAAATACTCCCTTCATCTTTATATATAAAAAAAAATTTAAAATATTTTTTATTCTTAAAAATAAAAGGTTATTTGCATATATTTTAATAAATAAATTATTATACCCTATTAAATTAAAAAAAATAAATACTCTTATTAATTTATTTTTATTTATAATAATTAAAGATAAAATTAAAATGTTATTATGCTTTTAATTAAATAATTAACTTTTATTGATTTGTATAATTTAATTAAAAATATCTTATATATAAGGACAGAGGGAATATTTTTTTTTCTTTTGAGATATGTAAAGTTGTTTGGACATGTTTTAATAAAAAAAAAACTTTTTGAATATGTTTTCTAAAAGTGAGTGAATGTAAATGTTGATAATGTGACTTTTGAGAGCTTTTGAAACTCATATTTGGGTTTGGGTATTAAATAATGAAGTTAAATGTGTGACTAATTTTTTATTTTATCATACTACCCCTTTTCCTCTATATTTCTCTCCTTCCTCTTTCTTTTCTATCTATCTCTATTTAACTTTTTTTATTCCTCTGATGTCTATAGATAATACCTTTTTTAAAACAAAAATTGTATTAATAAGTACTCACGTAATTTTTTTGATTTCATGTTGGTCTGGTTATATTATATTAGATTAAAAAAATTAATCAATGCAATAGAATATTGAGAAACTCTTAAATTTTCATATGTAGAAAAATTTGGTGTATCAAATTTTTATTTAACAAATCAAATTTTATATTATTTATCACACTTTTAAAAACTTTTTAACCTACTATATTTGTATGACAAAAATTATAACTCATCATAAATAAATATTTTTTTTCATAATTATACATTCAAAAGCACATTTTACTATCATAATCCAAACAACTTTCAATTTATAAAATTAATTTTTTAAAAAATGCATCTAAACATAAATTTTATTATAATAATTGACTTTCACTGAATTGACTTTTGCTAAATAAACATTAAGCAAATGAATTTTTGTCAAACTAAAAATCAAACACACACTGAATCAACATGTGATTTTGAGTTCTAGATGGACAATGGTATTAAATAAATAAATCAAAAAAAATTCTCAAAATACTTAATAGTCACAAGATTATAATTAATAATAATAGTCCTACATATATTGAGGGTTTGGATTTCTTTTGGTGAGAAGTGCCCAGATTTCTCATAGAGAAATTCTCAAGTGAATCAGTGCATTACATTATTTATGGTCTTTCCAAATAAAAACATAACATTTAAATGTTACTAAATATAAATTAATTCTGATATTAATGATAGTAGAGAGAGAAAAAGTAATAAATTAAATATGCATTCTATTATAAAAATAAAATCAATTAAAAAAATGTCACACAATATTTTATTTAGATTATTTGGAGTATTTTAATTAGATATACTACAAATGACGTGGTACACTTAATCTATTTAAGTATTCCTCCTTCTCAGATAAAAAAATGGATACCCATTTATTATTGGTTTTAAATTTAAATTCATTAATAACTTCTTAAGTTTAAATTATTCTAAACTAGTCCCTTCAAGGACATTTGATAAAATTATTTCAAACTAAAGTTAGATTATTTAGATTATTTGATAAAATTAAAAAAATGTCACACAATATTTTATTTAGATTATTTGAAGTATTTTAATTGGACATACTACAAATGACGCGGTACACTTAATCTATTTAAGTATTCCTCCTTCTCAGATAAAAAAATGGATACTCATTTATTATTGGTTTTAAATTTAAATTCATTAATAACTTCTTAAGTTTAAATTATTCTAAACTAGTCCCTTCAAGGACATTTGATAAAATTATTTCAAACTAAAGTTGAATTGAACTTATCTTTATTGAATTGAGTATAGATGAGAGCCTAATAATTTCTCAGAAGGTGGTGATCATCTAATCGACCAGAGAATCATTGGAAGCCTAATTTTAAAATGAAACTAAATGGCCCATTCTGCTAAAATAAAAGCCTGATTGAGCTGCCTATTTAGTAGAGCTCACATGGGCAAACCTTTTATTTATTCTTTTTGGACAACAACATGAGCAAACTTACCTCGAGAAAGGAAATATTCACACTGCTAAGTCAAAATGGAAAAAGCTCTACCAAAAAAATGAAATGGAAAAAGTGGGATCCTCGTGCAAATTAATAAAGACAAGTCCATTTTTAATTAGTTAGGGGATATTAGAATAAAAATATTTAAAAAATAACATTCTAAATAAATAGTCAAGAAAATAGGTTTATAGGAAGTGGGGGAGTGCTTTTTAACAATGTTTTAAAACTCGAATTGGATAGCAACCAAAAATATCACTAGTTTGTAGGCCTTATGGTTTAACTGGTCAGACTGGCGGTTGAATCGGTAACATAATAATTAAATAAAAAATAATATTTATATGTAGATAACTATATATATGAGAAATAAAATACAACAATACATCAATGCCAAAAGTAATTAATACAACTAAAACACCACATAAACAAGTAAATTAATAATTCAAAAGTAAACAGAAACATAAAGTTAATCAAAGTAGAGAATATAGCCTTCGAAAGAGGCATATTAAGGAGAAATTGACTAGATCTTAACGATATGAACAGGTCCAATAAATTAAAAACAAGTTTGTTTAATGCAACAGTAAGTTCAATATGACAACAAATTCTATTTAATCATCACAATTTTCTTTTAAATCTCTAGTTTTGTTATTCCCCTCCAATGAATATGACCCCTCAAAGGTAAGGGGGAATATTCTTTTTTGAATATGGGAAGCATTATTGAGGAAAACCAAAAAAATTATTTGTTCTAAATAATATAAAAAAATATTCACTTTTGCATGCCATAAACAATTACACTTCAACCACTAGTGAATTGAAACATTAAAATTGAAATATATCACAATTCAAATCAAATACTACCGGCAAACATATTCTTTGGCCAAAAATAAAACTAGAAGACATAAAACAAAGAAAGTAATTTAAAGAGAGAATAGATTGCAGATGTTACATGAAAATTTTATGTGTGAGCAAGAGCTTTGCTTTGGACTTCACAAGTGACATAAAAGATATGGCTAAGAAAGAAAGGAATAATATTGCCTTAGATGGACTTTGCAACTCAAAGTCTATTATGAGAAAGCAAGAGTAGGACTATAAAGAGTAGGTTAATTTGGGGAGAGAGATAAATAAGAGTAAAAGAAAATCTCACTAAGCAAAATGAGGCTAATTGATGAAGAAGATAAAGGATAAAAGATAAAGAAGAAGGTCGAGGCCAATTGATGCCGTTCAACTTTATTCCAACTTCCAACAGTTGCGTGAGAGTGAGAAGCAAAGCAAGACAGAGAGAAAAGAATTAAGAAGGAGAAGAGTGAAGATTGAAGCATACGCGATCCATTGCCTTAGAAACAAGGGGTTTAAAATTTTTAAAATGCTAATTTTGCCCTCATAAGACACCTTTTAACCTACGAAAACCCACTTGGGTTCCTAGTCTTTAAAAATTGCCTAGTTAAGGGAGGCCAACTGCTAAAATGGGCTAAGAGATTGAACCATATTGCTTTCTTCATTGGGCGACAATCTAACCGATTCAACCATCAGAGTTAGTTTACGTCTGAACACATTACTTTTTAATGAATATCCCTAATATTTTGAAATCTCACAGTGTCATCTCATGGATGGTATTACAATCATTGCATACATGTAGACACTCATATGAAATATTAATGTACTTTTTTTCTTTTATGTTCTAGACCTTTCACTCATTTTACTTGAGATATTAACATGGGAAAACTAGTTAAAAACTCTAGGTTAAAAAGCAAATCAGTCTCAAGGATCAAATGTTCTATAAGGACCAAACTAATTATTTTATTCAGAAAAGGATGAGGAGAATGAACTAAAATGCCTTCTATTATTGGGAGAAAATAATATAGTAAATCAAAGACAATTCCCAGTGGCCATACTTCTCCAAGCTATCTCCTTCCTCCTTTGTCATTTCACGTTTATTAGTATCGATCACTCTCAAACTCACCTATACCATTGTTTACACCATTGCACTTAATCTCCCTTGAGCTATCTATAAAACAACACCTTCAGCCGTGCTCCTATGAAATTTTTAAACCTTAAGCCTCTTGAACTCTCAAGCCCTTCCCTCACACCCACATATGCATTCACCTCTTATTATTAACTTTTGCTGTTGGCAACCCTCGAATCCATCACACTCATGTCTCTACTATTGTCTGCCTCACTATCAGCCGCCCCTTAAGCCTTATGGCTCAAGCCATTACCTCCCTCAATTCCATTCACCCTTGGTTCACTTTTAGCCATAGCCTCATTCACACTCGTGTATTATCATCCTCTTTTGAGGGAACTCTTAGTTTTTTTGGTATTTTTTTTCGTGAAAATTAGGTTAAATTGGTGCATAAGCCATTTGTGTTATTCTTTTAGCTATACTAATGTTTTGTATTCCTAGTTTAATGAATAACTAAATGACATATTTGCTAACATTATAAAAAATATGCATTTCTCAACTTAGGAAATTTTATATGACTCTTTAAAATGTTAGTTCTTTGGGCTGCACTTGTAAGTTTATGTTTGTGGTTATGTGAAATATTTGTTAATTTCCTATGGCTCGTTCTGTTGACTTTGATTCTATTATTGTGAAATAAATAATAGATGTATCAATCAAATATTATTCTTAATTTAAGTCTAGCTGGAAACAATTTATTAGTTCATGGTCAATATTTAGATTGTGGTGGTAGTGTAATGGATCCTCTTAACAAAGGTAACAATCCTACCAACGACTCTAATCTCAGCTTAAAGCAATATTTACGCTAGACATATGAGCTATATGAACATTTTGTTGATG